GCTCTTTTTTCTTTTCTCTCTTTTGTTCATTTCTCCTTTTTAGTCATAGCTCAAATTTTTTTTTGGATAATTCCAGTTATCCATGATCTAGTAGAATGGAGTTACATTTAGACCTGAGTTAGATTTCGCACCGCAATATAGAACCGAGCGAAGTCGAACTTCTTATCGTAAATTTATGTATTTATATTATTGTAAATATTAATAAATAAGATCAGTTATAACAAAACCCGTTAACAATTCAAAAAAAAAAAAAAAAAAAATTATTATTAATTGAAGTATCAGATAGTTTAATAAATATCCGACTATCTGCAAATATATTTTCATTATCTGATATGAACAAATATCTAAAAATCCACAGGATTTTTTAAATAGATCCAAATACTAAATTTAGATAGAATTAATGTTAGATGCTGAATTTGGGTTAAATAAAATTAAATTGCTATATATAACAAAAGTAAGTTGTATATATTTATTTATAATATTCGTTCATATTAAATGTTTATTTGTTTGCTAAGAAAGTTAAATAGATGTTTAAAATTGGGTATAATAATTAATGTTTTATTCATATATATATGTATATAATAATGCAACAGAGGCTTGTATTATTACCTATTAATAGACCGATATATAAACCGGTTTTAAATTATGAACTGTGGACTTATTGGACTAATTTGTGAACCAGTTTAAAACTCGGTCTTTAGCAAACTGTAATATCTCTAATTGCTACACCAAACCAGTGAATCAATATTTTGTGAAGATTACTATACAATAATTGAAAATATTTAGAACCGAAGTAGAACATTTTTATTCATAGAGAAAGCTAAATAAATAAATGCAATACTGATTAAAAAGTAATACATTTAAATGTCAAAAGACAATTATATTATATAATTTTATATGCAAAAAATTTGCTTTTCAAATATAATTATTTTCTTTCAGGCCCTTATATATAAACTCCTCTTATTTTATTACGCATATCACATTACTAATCAAATTTGCTCTTAGATCTGTTCTAATAGATTGACTTAAGTGTTTGAGAACACTTAATGAATCTAACCCATACTTAAAATTTTTAAATTCAGACCTGTCTATATAGGCCTCTATTGTTAAAAGTCTTAAATAATTAAATATAGTTTTAGATCATGCATTTATGTTAGAATAAATAATGTATTTAATGCATAAATGTTTAATAATTCTCAATAAAAGAATAATATTATACAATCCCTAAAAATGCAGAGATTAAATTATGTTTTAATTTTTTTTTCTTTTATTTTTGCATGATAAAATTATAACTCAATTGTTATACAATATAATCTATTAAAAGTGTTCCAAAAAATTGTAAATTGTTCTTTTTTTTTATAAACTTTATTTCTTTTAAATCATAACAGTTATACATCATTTTCATAATTGTTGTGTATAAATAATCAATTTCTTACCTTTATTCAAGAAAACAATGAGTACTAATTCTTTGAATTCTGTAATTGATCATAAGAATAATAATGAAATCTATGAATGTGAGGAAAGTGATTCATCAACAAGTACCCATTTAGATAATTATATAAATTCACCATTCCAAAAAAAAGGAAAGGAACCCTCAACTGTGTAGAAATATTTTGTTAAAATTAAAAAGTCTGGAAAATGGAAGTGTAAAAGTTGCCCATCAAAATATGAAAAGAACACTAGTACTTCAACATTAAGGCAACATCTAGAAGCGCATAATATTATTGCATTAATACAAAAAAAAAATAAATTTGTAGTTGAAAATCATTATATTCCTCATTTGATAGAAAAATAGCAAGAGCATAATAATGCTGTAACAAAATAGATATTGTGTGATTTGCAACTCTTTACTATTATTGAATACAAAGAATAGTAGGATATAATAAAAAAATTTGACTCATATTATCAATTTCATAATTGTCATATAGAAAAGAATCATGTTGTAACTCTATTTGAAAATAAAAGAGAACAAGTAAAATTAGTACTCTTTTAAATTCCCAGAAAAGCGTTGTTCACTTCTGATATATGAACTGCATCTAATAGTACTGTGTTACTTAGTTTAACAATCTATTTTGTTGATTCTTTTTAGAAACTAAATAGTTTTTAGATATTATTTCAATAGAAGTGTGTCATATGGGCTCCAATATGGCTAATGTTATAATGAATATCCTTAGTGAATTCGGTTTAGAAAAAAAAACCTTAGCTCTTACTACTGACAATGCTTTGACAATGATTGTATATAGTGAACTTATAATAAAAGAACTTGAAGAAGAATTTGATAATCTTGAATTTTCGCATTATAGATACCTCACCTATATTTTAAATCTTGTAGTTAGTTAAGAGTTTAAGTATGTAGATAATTCAATTTCAAAAGTAAAAATATTGATATTATATATTAAATTATCAAAACCAACAAACAATGCTTTAAAAGAGTTTTGTAATGTAAAAAGTATTCTCTACCTAGTACCTGAAATAGATATAAAGACAGTAGAATTTCACCTACTATATGCTGATAAAGTGGAAAAAATTAGAGCCTGTATTAAATTTGCTTGTAATCAATGATTAAATAGTAAAGAAAAAGTATTTAAATGCAGAAGACTTTAATAATATTAATGTAAATATGTTTTTTATCTTATTATAAAAAAAAAAAGTTATATATAATTTATATGTACTGTATATATACTATTTTTTTCTTTTAAAAAAAGAATATAATTATGCTTCTTAAACCAGTAGAACATGCTACTCGTTTTTTATCTGTATCAAACTACTCAATACATGGAAATGTTTAATTTGTTGTTCTTGGAATTCGTGAGCATTTATCTTGATATAAAGATAATTTTGATTTCTCCAAAGCTCAAATGGCCAAAATGATGCATCAAAAATTAGAAAGCTACTAGTTAATTCTTGATGATTCTTCTCAAATCTCGATCCACGTGTAAAACTCTCTACATTCAAAACTAAAAATAAGAAAAATAAAGTTGTTAATTTAGTTTTTGAATTAAGTGAATATATATCTGAAACAACTCAACAAATAGCTTTTGCTAATAATTCAAATAATGATAGAGATTATTTCCATAATCTATATACCTTGATATATTTTTTTCTTTTATATACAATCCACCTACTACAAATTGTATATATGAGCAAATCAAGAAATATCTCTCAATACCTTTGCTTGGTCATGTTGATCTTCTGTGTTGGTGACAAACACAGCATTCTGAATATCCAATTTTAAGTATTATTGCCCGTGATTATTTGTCGATTCAAGCAACAAGCATTGCTTTAGAACAGGCATTTTCAATTGCTGAAATGGTAATTTCAGACAAAAGAAACAGATTAGAAAAAAAAATTGCAAGAACAATTCTTTGCTTAAAAATCTGGATTCATAAAGGAGTATGCTAAATATAATATTTGCAACTAAAAAAATTAAAATACTGCTTGCTTTATACTTTGAATACAATAAACATTTAAAACAATATAATATACATAGCATTTTCATAAAAAAAAAAAAAAGATAAATATATATAAACATAACCGTAATTGAATAAAGATCTAAGTTCAAATTGCTTGATCTTGAAAGTGCATTTCGCACACACAGTTTCTTGATTATAGTTATTGACCGCTTATATATTGCAACTTTTATGCATAGATTAAGTATTTACAAAAATCATCGCTTATTTGTAATAAATTGAGATTTCAACTTAAATATATAAAAATTTTCTAATTAAAGATATAATTAAGGTTTGTTCAGTTATATAAATTGATTGATCCTATTGGTTTATTATCATATGCAATCTCGAATTTTATAAATCGAAAGACCAGTTTTAGGACCGAACCAAAAAACTATTGGACCAGTTCTATTATGGATCAGACTTATCTATCTCTAAATTTATCTAAATTAGCCTGATAATTTTAAAATATAAAGTACTAATAGAATAATAAAGCTTATTTAACTTCTAGAGTAGTTAAATACTTATTTACTATTTATAATACTTCTTAAATTATTTATTTGTATTAACTATTTCTTTAGCCTATTACTATAAAGATCATCTATTAATCAGTAGTATTGATATTAGCAACAAGCTTATATAGAATAAATACTTATCTAGTACTTATCTACTGTTAAATAATATGCTTCAAATTGCATTAACCATTCTATTCAGCTTATAAATATAAAAATTATTAATCAGCAGAATTAAAATCAAACCAAGTTTGAAATACACTATTTTAATGCCAAACTGCTTGCTTTCTGTTGTGGATACTTAAGTGTATTCTACATCTACCTTGTATATATTCTAATAGCAAGTTCTCTGCACTAGGTAACCTTGTTACTATGCTATGTAGTTACAAGAAAGCCATAGTATTGTAACATTTTAATACCTTCTGGTGGAAATAAATCTAAAACCCAACTGTTCTGGCAAAAATAAATCTAAAACCCAACTGTTCTAGTAAAAACAATTCTAAAACCCAAGTATTCTAGTAGAAAACCAAAATACCAACCCAGGAAACAGGCCAAAACAATATCTAAAAACTATACTAAAAACTATCTCAGAACTCTAATATTGACCAAAGTTAAACCTAAAAATATAAGAATACTGAAGTTTATAACCTAGCACTAAACCAGTACTGGACCTAAACTATTGAAAGAACTACTCAAAACTTATAACTAGAACACTTTTTTGAAATCTCTTTCAAGATCCTCAAAAGCTTTGAACAAATCCACTACCCAAACCAAGAATGCATTTAGGCCCAAATATAAATGCAAATAGGAAATATCTTAAGTACAAACTAGAGATTATTGTTTTTAATAAAAATATTAAAAAGCTTTTAAAAGAAAACAGTTAGTAAAATTCAACACATCACCAATCTAACAAATTCAGAATGCCTTAACAACAAGTTATAGTGTTCTAGCACATAGAAGTGGCTTTATAACCAAGACCTCCAATATGTATAAATGAAAATATTATATGCCTTATATATACTACTATTAGTATATTGGCTATGTACTTATAACATGTTCAAAGCATGGCATTGAATACATACCTTGAAGCAAAATGAAAAATTGTCTTAATAAATTTTATTAAAAAGCTAGAACAAGAAATTAACTAAATTTTATTTGAAGTATTAAAAGTACTCAAAAAGCTAATACAAAAAACTAGAGTACTGTAGCCCTAATTATTAAACCCAAAAATAATACTATTTCAAAAAGATAAACTATTGACACCATGAAAGGTTCTTTTAGGCAATTAGATATTAAACAGATAAACAAATGACTGAAAAGTGAAAAACTATTATTAGAATGATAATTAAATAGAACATAAAAATAAAATAGCATCAATAGAAATAGTCATAGACCTAGGCATGACTATATAATAATATATATGGAATTAGAGCTATTACCCAAGTCAAAAAATAGCGACCTGTATCAACCTGGGTAATGAAATATTGACCCAGATTATGACTCAAGTCAGCAGATTAGATGAATAAATTTAAAATTTATTACTGTATAATAAACCTAGAGATGGGTTTCATACGTGCCCATACTTCTTTATGATTTGAAATCATGCGTATTTTATCCTATCTAAATTTTATTTAGAAAAACTAAAGTATATTTAATTTAGGCCAAAATAGGCAAAATTAAGAAATAGGAATGCAAAAATTTTGAAAAATTCTGAAAAGAAAATGAATAAACATAAAGATAAGAAAGGTTGGGGAAAAAATTTTAGTATTTCTCTGAAGAAAAAATATAAAATCAAAAAATTCCACTATGCGATATTATGCCATTTATATAATATCTAAAAAATTTTAGCATACTATATATATAGTTAGTGTTGTACAATGTGTATGAAATTATGGAATCATGTATATGATTTTTTATATATTACATATAATATTGGCAAAGTGATATAATGCTGGTATAAACTTATAATGCTAGCAAAATTTTTATAAATTCCGAAATATTCTGAAAGCTAATAAGTACAGTAATTCTGAAAAATTCCTATGCATATAATATATATAAAACTTAAAAAAATTAGAATTTGCACAACACTACGTACAGTATATACTGTACATACTGTTCTTTTCTGGCATCTGATTGGCTGGAACAAGTGATTGGCAAAAATTTTAGCATATAGTACATACTATATGTTAAGATAGATTAAATTGATTTGGGAGTTAGATAAATTCGACTATTATAGGTCTTAATCTACTCTAGCTACTCTAAACACATATTAAACTAACTAATTTTAACAAACTATACTAATTCAAATAATTAATAAAATGGTACTCCAAGATGGTAGACTTCAAAAAAGAGATATGGAGAAACTTGGACTGAGTTCTTGAAGCTTAGACCTTAGGGAGATTTATTCAGAAAGTATATACATTAAGTTTCTTCTATCTTTACTATAATTTATCCTATTGTTTTTTAATTATTCCAATACTAATTCTCTAATCATATCGGCGAATTTGCAGAATTAATCTAAATTAAGGTCCATATATTTTAACAATACGATTGTAAAACTAACCCTAAAATTTCAGCTATTATACATTCTGCAATTGTTAAATCTAGAAACCTTAATTTAGATCTATTTTGCAAATCTGCCGATA